AAGTTCTAGTTTCGAGAAATGTTTAGCCAATCAACTCGCAGCTATTCCATAAAAGCTACAAGTTCATTGGCTACACGTTTCTCGGAACTAGAACTTGGATCAAGTTCTAGCATCGTGGACACAGGGCCTTTAAACATTGGCCCAATGCTTGGTTGTGTTGGGCCAACGTTCAGCCAGTGCACTGTGCTACTAGGGTGCTGTATGGGTTCTAGCTTAGCTTTTATGAAGAAACAAGTTAATCCCCTGTCAAATGTATCTCAGTCTTATCTGTATGCGCATCTTGCAGCCAAGGGTACTCGCTATGTAACCTGCGGCTCCGTATTGAAGCTAATGAACGTGGACTACAACGTGAGGCTGCACTCCCACGAGGTGAAATACGGCAGCGGCAGCGGGCAGCAGTCGGTGACTGGGACCAACGCCAAGGAGGACGGTAATTCCTACTGGCTGATCAAAGCGGAGTCGGGGAAGCAGTGCACGCGGGGGTGAGTCACGGTTCATGCTCGCGCGACGATCCACCTGTGACAAATCACAACGTTCTCGTTCTTTCGACAGGAAGCCGATCAAGTGCGGGGACACCATCCGATTGGAGCACGTCGCGACGAAGAAGAATCTCCATTCGCACCTCGTCAGCTCGCCCCTGACCGGGAAACAGGAGGTGTCCGCCTACGGGGATCACAAGGGCGAAGGCGATACCGGTGATAACTGGATGCTGCTGTGCCAGACTGATTTTTGGGAGAGAGAAGACACGATTATGCTGAAGCATATCGACACCGACAAGTAAGTGTACCCGCCTTCGTGGACTTGAGCGTAAATAGAAGACGTAGCGCTGCCTGCAGAACGGGTTTACAAATGACGCTGTGCGCTTAGGTACCTGGCAGTCACTGGCAGAACTTACGGCACTCCGATCAGCGGCCAGACCGAAGTGGTAGGCGAATACTCCCCGAGCAGCCCTCACACGCAGTGGTCGGTAATGGAAGGACTGTTTATTCATCCTAGCGACTTTAAAGCGCACCATAACGAGCATACAGAATTATAGGCGATTTTTTTATAACGGGAACTTTAGTCTACGGTTCATGTATATATACGCGTCGCAGAGAATGCGTGAACAAGTTAAGAGAGGGTGCGTAGTTTTATTACCAAGAGAGGCATTCATTAATTAAATTATCGTTGAGTATCGATGTTCTTTTCTCAAGGTTTACCTGCCGTGAAGCTGCGCTTGCAAAACTTTCGGTATAACATCGATGTCACGGGCGCGTTTTGTTCGAGAAAAAGTTATTAAATTTGGTTCAAAGTTCGCGGGCAAATTGTATTGAATTAAAATATTCTCAGTCTCGTTATCTTGCATCGTTATTGTAAACTTTTAATACTTTGGTGGTAACCCATGTGATTTAATTTATTTAATTAGCAAGTAATTAAATAAACTAAAATCAGCTTACTATTCAGGAGGATATCTGTATCACTGTCCACATTATATTCAACAAACGCAATTGATTTACACGAAGCGTTTGTCTAAAACTATACACTTGGCATCGACGTGCATTAGTTTCCGACTCGGGCTTCATATTAAGAAATACAAAAATGAATTGACGCATGATTCAGCAAGTGATGTACGATGCGTCCCGTGTCATGCATCATTTATCCTTGTTATTCGCCAAACGTTAAATAAATGATGCATTTTTCCCTTGATTTATCCCATTTATGAATGCACAGTCGGATTCAGAATTTCAGATTTAGTTTTACCTGACGGCGATCTCTTTCCGAATGAAAAATTTATCTAAAGTCTACTTTAATTCTCAGATAAGGCAAAATCAGAAATTCTGGATAATAACACGTTACATCTCTCGTACATCTCGTCTACGTCCGAATCAGAAAAGCGGGTAAGTGTGGCAGAGATAAAAAGCAAATTTGTCTCTATCGCGTTGCAAGAAGTCACAAGCTCCGGAAAGAAGTGTAATCCGTTCAGAAATTATATCTACCTACGAATCAATATCCTAGAATACTTAGTAATCGTAAAGTGCGCTTGTATCTGTGTTCCCCATCACGTATGAATGCGTAAATATGTTGTACATATGACTGTATTTATTGCTACGTAAGTACATAATAAAGAAGTACGCGTGTTCGATTTAATCCCGAGAGCGTAATTCGCCCGACCGGCCTCAGACCTCCTTCAGCTCGTACTTGCCGTTGATGTCTCGCGTGCCTATGAGCCCGTTGTACGGGAAAATGATATTCGAGAGGCCGTAGCTGCCGAAGATCTCCCTCAGACTCTGCCGCCCCGTCACATTGACGTAGCGCTGCTTGCCGGTCAGGCAGCTGTGCAACTTCCAGATGCCGAGCACCAGGCAGATGCACAGGATCGACATGAGCGTGTCGAACATGGTGACCAGGAGTATACTCGAGCTGTCCCGCGAGTGCAGCAGCCTCGCCAGCGCGACGGGGAAGCAAAAGTTGAGGAATATATTGAAGTAATCCGCGTCGCTCTTCACTATGTGATTGATGTTCTCGTACATGTATGGGCCCAGCACGCACAGGGTGTACAGGCACGTGAGCGAGGTGTAGAAGCAGAACAGTATAAAGTTGCCCATGTTCTGGCGGAGCACGCAGGCACCCAGGAAGAAGCAGTGGTGGTCCCGGAAGTGGAAGCACTTGCGGCAGAAGACGCAGTGCTGCGTCGGCTTGCACATGTAACTCTGGCACCTCTCGCAGTGCCAGAATTTGTAGGCCGTGTTGTGCGCCGGTGGCTGCGCGCCATCGTGCTGCTCGTGCTTGCGCTGCTGCTGCTGCTGGGTGACCACGCTGCACAGATTGCTCTGTATCTCCCTCACCCTCATCGGACTCGACTTACGGCTGATGCTGTACACCGAGTACCAGTTCAGGTAGACCTGCGCGCAGAGGAAGACGAAGACCGGCGAGACCTTCTGGCTGATGTAAATCGTGATCGCGACGACGAACACGGTGCATATCAACGTCGCCAGCGGGCACACCTGTTTCACGAGCCTCGCGCAAGCTTTCACATGCTGCGGCTGAGGCATACCTCGCGGCAGATAGATCTCTCTTTACATCTGTAAACGTAGAACCCCTAAGTTTCGCGGACGTGCGGCGCGCAGATCCAACTTTCAGACATCTATTCGGACAAGAGTCTCTCCCTCCAAGAGTTTCTTCTTTTTAATTTTTCTTCTATTATTTACATTCCTGAAAAGATAATAAATTTGTCAGATCAACATTCTCCGCGAGCCTCGCTTCGATTTTATGCTGGAAGGCGACACCCCCTTGACACAAAGGTACATAATTTAATTGTTAGGAGTCAACGAATACCGCGTTGCTGCATTCTCGTCGTTCACTGACCTCGATCATAACCTCATCTCGATGCGTTTCACCGAGTTTATTTCATTCAACAGGTCGGAGCGATCCTCGAAAATAAATACGATCGTTCGTGACGATCAGTGGACGGTGGTCGTGGCATAATTTTCTTGGGAACGCTCTTACTTCTCGCGGCAGTAACAGCGCGTTGTCACCAGCAGTCACCTGCACGCTCCAACGTGCGTGCCTGGCGCGCCGTAAGCGCGTAATCAAGAATCGAACTGCACACCGGCCAGTATTCCGAAAATTTTGCAAACTTTATAATATTTCTACAAGGCTGCTGAAACGTTGTCGGCGAAATATTACAATTGAATGTCTCTGAACCGTCTCTGCAATGTTACATTGCAATTTGCAACGTTTCTGAAAGCTTTGGTGTTGTATGGGTAACTTTAAACGTAGTTTAATTCGGTTCTTGTCTCTTTCCAACTTTAGAAAGAGGCAAAGAACGAATTAAGCTAAGCTTAAAGCTAAACGACGTTGATGAAACAGGGCCTTAATGTTTTGATAGAACAATTTACGAAATTTATTAAGGCTAAACATATGTTAAAAAATATAGCGTAAAACATAACATAACATATTAAAATTGTATGGAACAAATTACTTAAGTTACATATCATTTTCAGACTATAAAAGCAGTTACATGTCTAAAAAAGTAAACAGAAACTAGTCTTAGGCCTAAATCTCTTTGGTTTAGGATACATTGACGTTACAAATGTTTACTAAGGAAAATTGCGATTTTTTACGTTGTCTGGATGCTATTTTGCGTTACTTTGCGTTTTAAAAACGTGTTAAAACGACGTTGGGGGACTCTAAAATGTAAAGAAACGACATTAAAAACGTTTCCTGGGGCATCTTGCGATATTTTGCGAAGGTAACAAAATGTCACACCTCTACCAATTATGCTAGAGAGATCTCTCGCGTTTGTCTGAATAATAAGAATATTTACATCCACGTGTTCCTCGAATTGAAAAGTTAGTCTTTAAAAAACATATGCAGAATGGATGACAAGGATGCAATCACTGATCGATCGGGCGGATATATAACAGCTATATGCTATTTATTCTCACTATAAAAAAAACACAGGTATATTTTACAATTATTATGCTTATATACGGTAAACGAGCATTACAAAACAATAACAGATCTATGTTGAAATCGTGATTAAAAACAAGATAGAACCTAAGCGATTACTCGTAGATCAATCTAAAGTGTAGCATAACTGATAACATGAAAAATTACTCATATAGTGATGTACAAACTTTTTCATACCAGAATACATATTTGGAGTCAATTGAGACAACCACGTAAAATTTAAACGTACAATACCGGGCCAGTTTTTAATCTACAGATTAAAAAGAATCGAACAAAACGCACGGGCAACACAAAAATTCATCTTTGAGTTCTGCTCATCAATCATCAAACATTATTCTTTGAGAGATAACACCCGCCCCCCTTCTCTCGCGTTCCTTCTCTTAATATATGTATACATCGATACGAGCCTTTATACATATTATACATGCATGTAAAATTATAAATATGTATAATAGTTATTAATGCTTACGCTCTTTGTACATTTGTGTAAGTAACAATGGTAAATATACATTGAATATATCACTCTCATACGAGAATATTATTAAAGCAGTCTTCAGCAATTATAAATACTAATAATAAGATAATTGAAATTTCCAGATACGTAACGGAACAAATCTTCGAAAAGGGACGAAAAAGATACGAAAAGGAAAAAAAAGGAGAAAGACCAGCAACGCAATGTGCGATTAAAATTAAGTGTAGTGAAACATTACGCTATTGTATATTGCCATTGTTTGAAGTACTTTAACCGTGCGTATGCATATATCTATGTATATAATATATGTATAATTTAAACTAGTTCTATTGAGTTGTTATTCGGAAATTTGAGTTGTGCATCCCTAAAATCACACACGCATACGTACTTTTTTTTTGTACACGATTTTGTACTTTTTCTTCAAATAGGAATAAGAATACGTGTATGTGCGCGCGATAAAGTTACTGCTTGTAAATAGACCTCTTCTGTAACATAACATCTCGCTCTATATAAATCGTGTAAAACTATACAAATACGTTTATAATACGATTTGCGCAAGATTTACCAAAATATACTGTTGCGACGACGATAATATAATTCGATACTTTCAACGCGATGGAAAATGTAAAAAATATGCTCTTAGGATCCTCGCTCTCTTTCCTTCTCTCTTGTAATATATTCTACTCTACGACGCAGTCGTGGTGCACACGCTCGACTGCGACGACACGTTGTCGACGCTTTTAAACGTTTCTAGAAACGCAAAAAGCACATTGCAGATTAGCCTTTAGAGAAAAAGTTCGTTATTATACATTTCGTCTGTTGTGAATCTGTGATGGCTCCTGATACTGTTATTACTTGATACTTATAATTGCTAGAGACTAGTTTAATGATACTCTTGTATAAGAGCAGCATGCTTCACCGCAATTCTCCAATTGGCGCGTTCTGAGACCACAGTTCATCGATAAATCTGTATAAAGTATCACTGACGGCTACCTGTAACAGAAATTGCGGAAAAACCACGTTTAAACAATTCCTCGCGTGTTTTCAACAATGCGCAATTTGTGTTAATATGCGAGCTAAAAATCTCAAAGTATCAGGCATCCTAGAAAAATTGTCAGATCCTTTGCTCCAAACAATTTTAAGTTCGAGAAATTCATATGCGATTATCTGTCCTTAAACAATTCTCAAAGCACTAAATATTAATTAATTTCTTTACCTTATAGGGAGTTGGATTCAGATTCCTTTTATGATCGTTGCGCAATGTATTGAGAGATTCCTGCACTCTGTTGCGAACTGCTTGCAACGTGGGCAATGGCTGACATAACTTGCCGTCTTTCCAGTATATCTGTAAGATACATTTTCAATTAATAGTTACGAATTATAAGTACCATTAACAGTAGCGAGACAGACCGGGCATCATTCACGCGAGACGACGTTTCCGATGTTTCGATATCGAATTCTCAATAATATAATTTACACAAACGATTTAAAAAGGTATTTCCCAATTTATATATGACATACTGCTGTCTCAGCTAATAGAAAAATTATTTAGAAAACATAAAATACTGCATATTACTAAGCACGATGAAATAATTACATTTCCACGAAGAAAAAGAATTAAACTCCAAATTGACAAAGGAATTGTCAGCTGCACAAAGTCGTGCAAAGTAAATCTTTTGTATTCGTATGTTATCATTGTGTATATTATGTAACACGGTCCGAAAATATATCATTTCAATCAGATGATACCTTGTGCAGAGACTCCACGTGGGATGGTGTAACGTTGGCCCTCTTCGTTTGTTGGAATGGATGCCTGCAGAGAACCTTCTGCATCACTTGCGGCGGTTCCTCCGTCGTTTTCTGCAAGAGATCTATCAATGCGTAGCCATCCGACCCGTACAGTCTATAAGCATCCTTCCTGCCTGGTATCGTGACTTTCCCGACCTCTTGACTGAGCTTAATCCTCGGTTCGTCGTTGATCTCGACCATTTTATAAACGCAGCCCAGCGCCGGTTGTCTCTGGCATGTGACGAGATGCGTCCCAATCCCGAAGCAATCGATTTTGTGACTCTGGAAGATATCCATATTCTTTATTATCATCTATCGCTTTAACCGCAACTCGGAAGAATATCCATATTCTTTATTATCGTCATCCATCGCTGTAGCTACAATTCGTAAAATCTTTACCTGCTCGTTCAAGCTTATTATGGTTTCCTCATTAATGTCGTTGGACGCGCAGATCATCAATTTGGCAAACCACGGTATATTGTACTTGACAGCAATTTTCTCAAAAATATCTCTCGCCACGTTACTGAGATACGCTAAATCGCCACTGTCAATCCTGATACCGACAGCTTTGTATCCCAAGTCGTTCAAAGCCAACGCTACCGCGCAGAAGTTTAACAGACCGCTCCTATTCGTAAAATATATATCTATGAGACATTTCAGTAACTAATACTACTCTCTACAGTTCTATTAATTACAAACTATATACTAAATGAAAAGCAATCCAACCACACGCTCTTTATGCTACAATTCTATGACAATTATGTAAAATTAATTCTAAACTTGGCAATTTCTCCTTGTTTCTTTGCTGGTAATTTCTCTTGTTTACTTAATATATGGAAAAGTTAAAATATATATACATCCTCACTGAATTTTCTATAAAAATTGCATTTTTTCCCCAAAAAGATTGAATTAAAAATAATTTTTTACTTATATCACATTATTTTTATATACTTTGCAACGTCAAGTTTACTTTCTCAGAAACTTGCCGAGTTTAGAACTAACAATAAAATGACATTACACACAAAAGATTAAGCACACAATAAAAGAGCCAAGACTATCTAAAACCTGTGCATTCACTGTCAATTAGTGCAGTGTAATAAGTATTTCAGCCAATTATTATGTTACCATTAATAATGGTTCCAGTAAAGAGAATTTTATGATAAATTGACAAACATACAAATATAGCCAATTCATATACTACCATCAGCATAACGAGAACTTGACGATAAATTTAGCGTTTTATTTAATTAGAAATGTATATTTTTGCTTTTTTTACAGTATATTTTCTTTTGTATAATATTTTAGCAGTGTTTCAGCATTTTTGTGTATTTAACTTGCGGCAAAGTTACGCGACGGAATCGCATGTGTTTCGAATAACAGCCAAGATACGTGTAACACATAGAATGTGCCCATATCAAATTACGAGAATTAAGGGGCAGAATTGGGAGGGGCACTATATAAGATCACAAGTGTGACATACTAACAACTAAATTTGAACAAAACATAAAACTCTGGTTGTTTTATCTTTAACTGGCACGTCAACATGATATGATAATGTATAGTTTGCAATTTGCCCGTTTCACAGAATATCTCATCTAGCATTTTTCAAGGGAAGAGCGGAGAGGGAAATTAATTGTGTCAGCAATTAAACGGCTCAAAGAAGCTTCAATGAGGGCGAATTATGGAAATACGTCAAAAGTGACTCTCTATATGTCCCATTAAAAAAATGCGATCTCAACCATTACAATGTTACTTATCGCATAAAAGGGGTATCGATAGCTTTCATGTTGCAAAAAATATTAAACTATATAATTCGCAAAGCGTAGATCTGAAGGAGGGGAGGGGGGAACGGGGAAGAATTGCATTCCGCAAAACAGGCAAACAGAGCGATATCGTACCTCACATAGAGCTCACCCAATTCGCCTCGTAAAAAGCCATTCTTGTGAGGTTGCGAAGTTGGTTCTGATATAAATGGGTTGTTTCTCACACCGTTTTGGGCGTGTGTATTGGACCCGTTAGTTAGAAGTTTATTCTTTACATTTAGGCTGGCCACTTGTGCCTGCCCCGTGGCCGACGTCTCAATGCTACAAACACACTCCTGTTAGGCCACAGTAGTGTATATATGGTACACGTGTCGTCGTGCCTGTTCGCGACGCGCTGGCAAAACTAAATTACACAATCGCTAGTGAGATTGAATTAAGAATATAGTTCTGTCTCGTTGAACAATGGATTTAATTAGGTTTTAATTACTGTTTCTTTATTCGTGTAGGTAGGAAGATGAATCTATAACGAGATAAAAAGATATCTTGACTCATGATAAAGAGTATAAATAATGTACATTTGATCTTGGAAGCCATAATTACGATACGAATTATACACGTTACATTTGTGCCTAGTTAAAACTGTTTCAACTATATACTCGTGTCGCAAACAGCCTCTACTGTATACATAAGCTAATGTATCCATTAGCAGCAATTAACATGCGTAGTATACGTAACGTCTCAAATTACGTATTTAAGTTCAACTTTAAATTTCAAGATTTATCCCTAAAATCGTCCGTCCTTTAGTTAATTTAGTATATGTAATTATCGAAATAAATACCTATATCATATATAATTATTCAAATAAATATCAACTAAACATAAAAGCGTGGCAAATCAATCAACGTAACATACGAGACATGCAGTATACCGATAACGTAAAAACAATTAATATAGTCAACAAATTTTATGTAAACTCCATGCAAAAGATTGATATAAAATTAACGCGAGTATGCGAGTTGACAGGAAAGTAACCAGAGTTTATAAGACGCAACTTTCAGAAACAATATCGGGCTTTCTACTTAAAAGCATTAAACAAATGAGCGACATGACTATATACCTCTTGACATCGTACGTGTCCACAAGAGCGGTGAATCTTTCCGGGAAAGCAACGGCATAACTGATCAAAGCCGCCAATTCTCCGTTGGACGCCTGTGAGGCTAAAGCTCCAAAATCATTGGCAATATCTTCGCGGTGCTTGCAAGCGAGTTCCAATACATCTAAAACGTCGCCCGTTTCCTTGTGCGCCAGTGTCTACAAGAGAAACGGATTACATGTTCCCCATAGAATTTCAACATTTGGTTTAACACTTAGTTATTGATTGAGAATCGAAAAGAGAAGGTTGTTTTTTCGAATACACTTACTTTCCCTTGCAGATCGCTGATGCTGGTGAAAGACGTGATATAGGCGTGTGCATGTGTACCACATACAGGTATATTGAACAGCTTTCCAGCCAAGACATTGCTAGTCCCATCAAACCCACCTGTAACATGATAAATTATTTTTGTGTTCAACACGTATTTAAAATATGTAACTAAGATTTGATCTGTTTCGTACTATGCGATAAATCGAGTCTTTTTAAGCAAGATATATGGTAATTCTTATATATCTTTAACGTATCTTTAATGGCTTCAAAAGATAGGATAATCATCCTGTATATGTTTCATAAAACTTTCATCTAATTTTATTAAAATAATCCGAACTTTTACTTCTGCCGATTCGATTCTAACAAAGCGCACTTAGAAAATATATATTATTGAGACTGGCCAATTTATTTTATAAACGTTTATTAAACAATACATGCAACTGTCTTTAATTCATATGTAAATATAAAATGTCCATTAAAAGACACTTTACTTTTCCTCCTCTGTGCACGTTTAAAGTGCACAGCTAATTAGTTCGGCAACTTTCCATGAGACACCCAGTATAGATATATGCGTGTATATATGCATGTATGTAAGGTCTAAGTCTATACATATACCCTCAATCTGACCTCCTAAATTGTTACTCATCACCTAGGCAGTACCAACTGGCACCGAGTGGCACAACGTATTGATTTTACTTTTCACGAAATTGTTAAGTATAGTGTAAGGGCGATGGAGTGGTACCAGACACCTCCGTTTTCATTATATATTACATTGCGGACTGGCAACGTAATATACAGGTATGTTTGAAACTTTTTTATATTTCAGACTTTATGTGCGGTTAACTGACATGAATATTATTCAAGGTACGCTATGTGCAAAAGGATAATTGCACATTTTATCAGCGGTTAAGTATTACATGTACGTATACATAAACACACGACAAAAACATTTTTACATCATACACGCTTTCGCAATGTAGACCATTGCGACGTAATGCACAGTAATTGGTGTAATGAACGAGCGCAATGTGAACAAACATAGCAACTGATACCAGTGGCAATTGGCTTGCGAATTTCATGCGCAGTGAAATCCCTTTGGGTCCAATGCTAATTTATTTTAACAAATTTGTGGCAACCAACCATGTCGCTTTAAACATGACGAATTGACCGCAGAGGGATTCTATCAAGCTGAATCGATAATTGAAGCGGGTAACAAGTATTTACCAACATAGCTGTACTTGGACGCGCTCAATCCTCCATCGGGTCCTTGCGCTCTTCGAAGACCGAACTCGAGCAACGTGATATTCTTCCCGGCGACCATGCGGTATCTCGCCGCGTTGGTCGCCATTAGGCTCGCATAGTTAACCAACGTTAACAGAGTCGTTTCCAAGAGCTGTACCATTATTAACGGCCCTTCTACTCTGATCAATGGAACTCTACAATTAAAGTCGACAATCAAATCCAAGATTTATTTATTCCGTCGGTGGGAAACGCGGTTTGAATGGAAAGTCAGCAGAAAATTGATTACATCTTTATTCCGGCAAGGAATAAAAGTCTAATACAAGTCTATTAACTTATTTCTAAATATAGTAAATGCTAAAGTGCAGTATTTTCCAACAGCTACTGTATTTAAATGCTGCTTTCTCGAAAGCTATATAAACGCAAGAGACTTTTTGTAAACCCACCTCGGAAACACAACGGATCCCTCGTCTATTGCGTATATCGTGACATTGCTCGCAGTGAGACTTTGCAGATAATCAAAGAATCTTTGGTCTACCGTAGGATCCATAGTCGACTTCAGGTACTTGATATCTGCAATACCGAAGCAAAGACGCCCTCGTAAAGGAGTAAAGTGTGTGCGCGCGCGCGACGCCCTGGCGAATACGTACCACTGTTGGAATAATGGAATTTATTCAAGAACTTGATGCACTCCTCCAGACCGGCGAAGATCGTGAATTCCCCCTGAAAAGGATTCTTGCGGAAGAACAAATCGAACACGGCGCGATCGTTCATTTTGCCGCTCTTCCAGTAGGCGTAAGCCATGGTGATCTGGTACAAGTCTGAAAGCAGGCGTCGCTCAGTATACGATAAGCGAAGCTCGCGGGCATGAAAAGCAACCGAGGCCTCGGCGTTATCTCAAGATCTTGCAGACCGTGTTATCGCGCCGGCAAACGGGAAAGTTATATAAGAAGCGAGTCGCGCCGTTTCACCAGGCCGAGTTATACATTGGATATTCTGCGATCGCGATTAAATGCCAACCGCGTTTTCTTTTCTACCGGGGCGAGAAAACCGGCGCGTCTCCAGGTTGTCGTTTTATCTCCGGGGACAGCATACCGCGTGGGAAAGGACGCGCGCTCGCCACTTTGCATGTGAAAGCGGGGCTCTGTGCCACATTCTAAGCGGGCGTTCTCGCGAGATACGCCGGCCGGAGGATGTTTGCGCGCGGCTTACATCATCGTCGAAATATTTACAAACATATAATCTTGTTGTGTATCCGCGCTCGCGAACGTACACGAACGGCCGGTCCTCGAGGGTCGCTGGGCGCTTGCCGGGTCCGATTATTCGCGATTGCGAAAAGGAGACGCGAGATAAGGTTCTTCTCTCCCTCTGGAAAGAGGGGAAAGAAATCGCGACTTCGCCGCTCGACCGAGAGACGCTTTTCTCGGAGGAGGGCGTTCTCTCCGAGAGAGGGGGGGGAGGAACTGACCCCGCGGTCGCCTCAGCCGAGTTCCCCGGCCGTCGCTCTCGTCCCCGGGACGGGGCGAGGGGGGGGGGGGGGGGGGGGGGGGGCGCGGCGGAGTGGGGGGTAGCTGACGCCGCGG